TACTATCTGCTACAGCTGGCCCTTGAACAACATGGGTTTGAACAGCTTAGGTCCTTTTGTCTCAGTGTCCAAAGATTTTTTTTTTTTTCTTTAAAAACTAACAGTAGTTTTACTAGAATATGTCTCAGCTCTTTTGGTTAATTTTTTTCAGATATGCTGTGTGCCCTTTCAATATATACTTTCACATTGTCGTTCATCTCAGGAAAGTTTTCTTGCATTACTGATTTCATTATTCTATTGTTTTGATTTTTTTTTTTTTAACATCTTTATTGGGGTATAATTGCTTTACAATGGTGTGTTAGTTTCTGCTTTATAACAAAGTGAATCAGTTATACATATACATGTTCCCATATCTCTTCCCTCTTGCGTCTCCCTCCCTCCCACCCTCCCTATCCCACCCCTCCAGGCGGTCACCAAGCACCGAGCCAATATCCCTGTGCCATGCAGCTGCTTCCCACTAGCTATCTACCTTACGTTTGTTACTGTGTATATGTCCATGACTCTCTCTTGCCCTGTCACAGCTCACCCTTCCCCCTCCCCATATCCTCAAGTCTGTTCTCCGGTAGGTCTGTGTCTTTATTACTGTCTTACCCCTAGGTTCTCCATGACATTTTTTTTCTTAAATTCCATATATGTGTGTTAGCATACGGTATTTGTCTTTTTCTTTCTGACTTACTTCACTCTGTATGACAGATTCTAGGTCTATCCACCTCATTTCAAATAGCTCAATTTCGTTTCTTTTTATGGCTGAGTAATAGTCCATTGTATATATGTGCCACATCTTCTTTATCCATTCATCCGATGATGGGCACTTAGGTTGTTTCCATCTCCGGGCTATTGTAAATAGAGCTGCAATGAACATTTTGGTACATGACTCTTTTTGAATTATGGTTTTCTCAGGGTATATGCCCAGTAGTGGGATTGCTGGGTCATATGATAGTTCTATTTGTAGTTTTTTAAGGAACCTCCATACTGTTCTCCATAGTGGCTGAACCAATTCACATTCCCACCAGCAGTGCAAGAGTGTTCCCTTTTCTCCACACCCTCTCCAGCATTTATTGTTTCTAGATTTTTTGATGATGGCCATTCTTACTGGTGTGAGATGATATCTCATTGTAGTTTTGATTTGCATTTCTCTAATGATTAATGATGTTGAGCATTCTTTCATGTGTTTGTTGGCAGTCTGCATATCTTCTTTGGAGAAATGTCTATTTAGGTCTTCTGCCCATTATTTAATTGGGTTGTTTGTCTTTTTGTTATTGAGCTGCATGAGCTGCTTGTAAATTTTGGAGATTAATCCTTTGTCAGTTGCTTCATTTGCAAATATTTTCTCCCATTCTGAGGGTTGTCTTTTGGTCTTGTTTATGGTTTCCTTTGCTGTGCAAAAGCTTTGAAGTTTCATTAGGTCCCATTTGTTTATTTTTGTTTTTATTTCCATTACTCTAGGAGGTGGGTCAGAAAGGATCTTTCTGTGATTTATGTCATAGAGTGTTCTGCCTATGTTTTCCTCTAAGAGTTTGATAGTTTCTGCCCTTACATTTAGGTCTTTAATCCATTTTGAGCTTATTTTTGTGTATGGTGTTTTCGGGAGTGATCTAATCTCATACTTTTACATGTATCTCTCTTATTTTTTTTTAAGGACTGCTATTATATGCATCTTGTATCTTTGCTTATTTTCCATATCTATCATTTTCTCTTAAATCCTTTATTTTTTCTGATTTTTTATTTTTTCTAAAAGTTTTTCTTTTTTCCATCTTTTATTTCTCAAAGGCAGTAGTCATTGGTTAATATGCTGTTGTGTTCCTTCTGTTTAGTCTATATTCTTGAAATCATTATTTCCTTCTATGTCTTTTTCCTGAGTTTTGTCACTTCTTTTCAGATCTTCCTTTCCTCCAGTCATCTCATTTCTGAATTAATATAGTATTTATTAATAGTTTTCCTTATAAATGTTATTGTTTTCTTAATTTAGTTTGTTTTTAAATAATAGGTTACAGCTTTCATTGGTTTTATTGGCATGTTTTTCTGGCATTTTATTGTCAGAGGTATCTTGTTCTATTCCTTTCATCTATTTTCTTATAAAATCCTTGAGTGTGATTTAATCATGCTTCTTTTCCATTGCTCTTTAGGTTAAATCTTGTTAAATAAGTGAAATATTTTCCTGTGCTCTTTTAAAAAAATATTTATTTTTATTTAAAAATTTTTTTGGCTGCGTTGGGTCTTCATTGCGGCATGAGGGATCTTCGTTGCAGCGTGCGGGCTCTTTGTTGCGGCACATGGGCTTCTCACTCTTTGTGGTGCGCGGGCTTCTCTCTATTTGCAGTGTGCAGGTTTTCTCTCTAGTTGTGGCGTGGGCTCTGAAGTTTGTGGCACGCAGGCTCTCTAGTTGAGGCACGCGGGCTCAGTAGTTGTGGCGTGCAGGCTTAGTTGCCCCATGACATGTGGGATCTTAGTTCCCTGACCAGGAATCAAACCTGCATCCCCTGCATTGGAAGGCGGATTCTTTACCACTGGACCACCAGGGAAGTCCCTATTTTCCTGTACTTTTAGGAGGAAATGTAAGCCAGAATAGTTCTCATGGCTCTAGAGCCTCTCCTTCTGTTGTTTTTGCAAAGTGATTTAAAAAATGGGGGGTGGGTGCTCATCATATCTGAGATCTGCTGTGTCTGTTTTGTTCCTCTACTTTTATCTGGACATTCTCTTTCTTTTGCCTTTTATTGTTTCTCTCCTGCTAAATGTGGCTTTTACTCCTAGCACTTTCTTTACACCACGGGGCTTTACCCTGGAAGGGAACTTGAGTTTTTAATTTTGAGCATTTTTAGGGCCCAGGCTTCTCCCACAGTGTTAGACTGTCCTCTTATATTCATCCAGTGAATTGGATTCTGTAGAGCCCTCTCCAGTTTGGGCCACAGTTCCAGTGAATATATGTTAATTTGGGGGCTCTTCCATTCTTGGGGTCATCAGAAGCCCTGCTGTTCTCCCTGTGTTTTTTCTCTCTCAGATGCTGAGACCACACACAGGTCTTTGTCCTCACCCACACTTATTTTGGCACTCGTGGGGATACCTTGTCATCTAGTTTTTATGTATTTATTGTTCACAGTTCTATTTTGCTATACTGGTTGCTCATTTTTAGTGGAGAATTTGAATAGATTTAAAAACTGTGCACTGCCATTTTCTTACAGTCTTCCAAAGGAGGTTTTAAAAATGAAGGCAGTTTCTAGGCATGAATGGAGTGGGGAGGAGATGCTTAGTGATTGTGTGTATTTTAACATTTCAAAAATTGATAATTTAAAAAACTGAACTAGAGCCTCGTAGATAACCTTGAGACTTGTTTGTCAGGGATACAAGATGGACATGGGTCATATATACCTTTCCATGGTGGTCACAAGAAACATACCTGGGTAGAGAAACTGGCTCTGTTTGGAGCAAGTTTAGAGGAAGTGGCGAAGGGACTCACAGCTGTTTCACATAAGTAAAGGTTTTGTTCTTTTCCAGGGGTAGACCTAAGTTCAAAGGGGTAAACCTCCAAAGAGACAGATTTGGACTAATGATAATTTTCTAATAATCAGAGTACTCTAAAGGTAGTGTTGTTTTCTTAACAGGTAATGATTTATCTCTTCCCGGAGGTATTAAAACACCAGTTTGAATTCATACTTCAGAAAGATAGTTACACTGCATAGTCTTCATGACCCATCCTCCTTGTGTGCTTAGCATCAATACCCTTGAGTCCCCTGCAATTGAAATGCCTGGAAAACTATATTATACCTTGGGAGCAAAAAGAGTGTCTTCATCTTTTTTCTCTTCCACAACTAATATAAGCCTTACCCATGGAGGTGCTTAATATGTATTTATTGAATTGAACTGGAAAGAAAGACTTTCTGTTGATTAGAGATCCTTTTTTGGAGAACTAATCTTTCTTTATAAGTTAATACAGGAAACTGATTTCTGTAGTTTCAAGCAAATCCATTATCATGTATTTTTAAATAACGCCAGCTTAAAATACTTCAAAGACTAAAATGATATAAAGCACATGTCAGTCATTCTGTGATGGGCTGTGCCCATCCTCCAGGTTCTGATGAATAAGAATGACTCCTTCATTCTCTTGAGTTCTAGGGAAACATTATTAAAAAAAAAAAAAAGAAAGAAAGAAAATGCTTTCCATGAAATCTCCCAATAAGGAATCTATAGCCAAATGAAAAATGAAATAAAAATAAAAGTTCTATATCCTCATGTGATTTAACTGTATCGGTGGTTTTATAAAAGTTGTCCTTATAGTGTTAGATTGAGTGTTAAACCTAGAATGGCCTTTCGAGATCATCTGCCTGAGAAATTCTTACCCAGAGGATAGTGATGGGCTTTAGAGATCTGTGAACTCATTAAAATTCCATACAATTTTTGCATGTTTGTGCACTTAGGCACTTTTCTGGGGAAAGATTCATTTTCCTTAGATTCTCAGAAGTGTCTGGACACTGACAAAGTTTCAGAATTTGTGAGTCCTAATCCATTCCCTTAGAATTAAAGATAGACAAGGAGGCACAGAAATTCTTATGACTTCCTTAAGGTTACCCTGCTGGGTACTGATGAACCATGGCTATTCCTACTTCAATGAGGGCCAATAGGCCTTGTTCTAAGCAGCTTTTTGTATTTGCTCATTTAATCCTTTTAACTGTACTTGAAAGTAGCTACACTGATTGTCTTCGTTTTACAGGTGAGGAAACAGAAACAGAGAGGTTAGATAATTTGCCCTGAGTCCCATGATGAATGAGTGACAGAGCAGGATTTGGACCCAGGCATTCTGGTTCTAGAGACCGTATCTTTAACAGCTGTAGTCCACCACCCCTCACAGAGGATATGCCAGGATGCCATGTAGCCAGTAAACTGTTTCAAGACTTTGTGAGATGGAATTTAGGATGTAAAAATGGTTCTTGTTTGTTGTAAAATAAATGAAGTGTTTTTAATAAGTTTTTATAGAGTTAAACATATTGAAATATGCTTTTTCCTAGCATGCAATGATGCTCCCTGTTTTGACCCATCATATTCGATACCACCAGTGCCTAATGCATCTGGACAAGCTGATAGGATATACTTTCCAAGATCGTTGTCTGTTACAGGTAAGAATTACTCTCCTGTACATTTATATAATAACAAGATAGGAGTAATTCATCTTGCAGGTTACAAATGGAGCACTGAGAGTCTCTTCTGGGAGATGATGAGGATGTTTAGAAACAAAGTTTTCTCCATTACTCTACTCTTATTGCCACTTTCAAACCCTTTTTCTCATTTTTTTTTTTTTCTTTTTGATGCTGTCCCTAAAGAAATAGATTAGGGCTTCCCTGGTAGCGCACTGGTTGACAGTCCGCCTGCCAATGCAGGGGACACGGGTTCGTGCCCCGGTCTGGGAGGATCCCACATGCCGCGGAGCGGCTGGGCCCGTGAGCCATGGCCGCTGAGCCTGAGCGTCCGGAGCCTGTGCTCCGCAACGGGAGAGGCCACAACAGTGAGAGGCCCGCGTACTGCAAAAAAAAAAAAAAAAAAAAAAAAAAGAGAGACTAAAGCTAAAATTTGCCCGTCAAACCTGACCACTTCTTTCAGCTTTTCCTCCTTTATGGCTCTTCTTTCCAGGTGCTGTATATTCTAATTCGTCTCTGAAAGATGTGGTTTTTTAGGTTTGTTTAGAAGAGCTTGCACCAAAGCTTTGGAAATGTGACATTGGAGGAAATAGGATGGAAAGATCGGGGATTAAAATTTGACTAGATAAACAGATCTCTTTCCTGTTTCATTTGAGGTGATATAAAGATGGTGCTTCTATGCTGAATTTGTTTTTGTTTTTATGCTGAGTTTTTAAGACTGAACTTATTTCACCGAAATTTTAGCTGGCAATGACCCACCCAAGTCATCACTTAAATTTTGGAATGAATCCTGATCATGCCAGGAACTCTTTGTCTAACTGTGGAATTCGGCAACCCAAATATGGAGATAGAAAAGTTCATCACATGCACATGCGGAAAAAAGGTATGTTTGGATTCCACTCCCCTGTTTTGTTCTGTGTCTCCTGTTGTAAATTAAATCCCCACCAGGAATGGTTCCCTGGTGACTGATTCATTCTCTCTTTCTTTAGTGTTTCCTGACCCATATGTAATAACATTCACTTTGAGCAGAGCATTATGATAAGAGTAAATGAATTTGTGAGAGAATTTCCTTTCTCCTATCAAGTGTTTTAAGTAACTAAGTTGATCAGACTTGCTAGTCAAATTGGGGTGAGATAGATAATTTTCTTTCTACATGTCATATGATGATGGTCCCAGAATTCTTCTAACAGTATTTAGTTGTGATTTTTTTTTTTAATAGGAATTAACACCTTAATAAATATTATGTCACGCCTTGGCCAAGATGACCCAACTCCCTCAAGGTAAAGTAGATTTTTTAATAATAAACTTTGTTGAGATATAATTCACATACCATACAATTCCCCCATTTAAAGTGTACAATTCAGTGGTTTTTGGTTTATTCACAAAATGGTGCAACCATGGTCACTGTCTAATTTTAGAGCATTTTCATCATCCCCAAAAGAAACCCCATACTCCCCATTTCCCTCAGCCTGCCCAGCCCTGGACATCCACCAGTCTTCTTTTAATCCATGTTCAATATTTATGGATTTACCTATTCTGAACATTTTGTATAAATGGTGTCATACAGTATGTGGTCCTTTGTGACTGGTTTATTTTACTTTACATTATGTTTAAAAGATTTATCCATGTTACAGTATATGTCAGTGTTTCTTTTTATTGCCAAATAATATTCCATGGTATAGGTATACCATGTTTTATTTATCTAGTCACCAACTGATGGTCATTTGTTGTTTTTACTTTTTGGTTATTATGAATGCTGTTGCTATGAATATTTGTATACAGGTTTTTGTATGGACATATGTTTTGATTTTTCTTGGGTATATACCTAGGAGTGGAATTTCTGGATGATATGGTAACTCTGTTTCACCTTTCCTTTAAGGAACTGCCAGACTGTTTCCAAAGTGGCTGCACCATTTTATTTTCCCAGCAGCAATATATATGAAGGTTCTGATTTCTTCACATCTTTCCCAACACTTGTTATGATCTGTCTTTTTGAACCTGGGCTTCCTAGTGGATATGAAATAGTATCTCATTGTGGTTTTGTCATATTTCCCTGATGGCTACTGATGTTGAGCATCTTTTCATGTGCTTATGGGCCATTTGTGTATCTTCTCTGGAAAAATATCCAGATCCTTTTCCCATTTTTAATCAGGGTACTTTTTGTTGTTGAGTTACAATCATTTTTTAATGTATTCTAGATACAAGTCCCTTATCAGGTATGTGATTTGTAAAAATCTTTTCTCGTTCTATGGATCATCTTTTCACTCTCTTAGTGAAGCACAAAAGTTTTGATGAATTCCACATAATAGATAAATTTTGTTGCTTTTGTTGCTTCTGCTTTTGGTGTCATGTCTAAGAAACCATTGCCTAATCTAAAGTCATGAAGACTTACATCTGTTTCTTCTAAGAGCTTTATGGGTTTTTTCCTCTGACATTTAGATCTGTTCTGTTCTGAGTTAATTCTTATATATGGTATGACATAGAGGTCCAGCTGCATTCTTTTGCTTGTGGATATGCAGTTGTCCCAGCACCATTTCTTGAAAAGGCTGATCTTTCCCCACTAAATCATATGGGTTGAAATCACCCTTGACAGTATATTTGAGGGTTTATTTTTGGATTCTTAGTTCATTCCATTGATTTTTATGTCTGTCCTTAAGCCAGTACCACACTGTCTTGATTACTGTAGCTTTGTAATAAGTTTTGAAATCTAGAAATGCAAGATCTCTTCTCTAACTTTCTTTTTTTCAAGACTATTTCAGCTATTCTAGACCTGTTACATTTCCACATGAATTTTTTAGTTACCTTAAGAACTTTTGCAAAGAAGCCAGCTGGGGTTTTGATAGGGATTGTGTTGAGTTTGTGGATCAATTTGTGAATGCTTACCATCTTAATATTAAGTCTTCTGCTTAATATTGTCTTCTGTTCCCTGAACATTAGATGTCTTTATTTTTTCTTTGTTGTCTTTAATTTCTTAGTAATGCTTTTTAGTTTTCAGAGTATACATTTTGTATATCTTTTGTTAAATTTATTCATAAGTATTCTTTTCGATGCTATTATAAATGAAATTATTTTCTTAATCTTTATTTTTGGATTGTTCATTGCAAGCATATAGAAATACAATTGATTTTTGATTATTGATCTTGTATCTTGCAACCTTGATGAGCTCATTTGTTAGCTCCAGTAGTTTTTTAGTGAATTCCTTAAGATTTTCTATATAGATGATCATTTCACTTATAAATAGAGATATTTATTTCAGTCTGGATGCCTTTCATTTCATCCAGTCTGGATGCCTTTCATTTCATTTTCTTAACCTAGTTGCCCTAGCTGGAGTCTCCAGTACAATATCAAATAGAAGTGGTGAGAGAGGATCCTTACCTTCTTCCTAATCTTAAATGGAAAACATTTTTTTACCATTGTGTATGATGTTATCTCATAGGTGCCTTTTATCAGATTGAGGAAGTTCCCTTTTATTCCTAATTTGCTGAATGTTTTTGTCATGAGAGTGTGTTGAACTTTGTCAAATGCTTTTTCTGCATCTATTAAGATGATCATGTGTTTTTTTCATTTATTTTATCCACATGGTGTATTACATTAATTGATTTTGGGGTGTTAAACCAACCTTGCCTTCCTGGGATACATCACACTTGATCATGGTATATAATCCTTTTTATATGCTATGTTTAGTTAGAATTTAGTTTGCTAGTATGCTGTTGAGGATTTTTGGTCTGTAGTTTTCCTTTCCTGTGACGTTTTAGTCTGGTTTCACTATTAGGATAATACTGGCCTCATGTAATGGGTTGGAAAGTTTTATATGTTAGCTTTCCGTATTTTATTTCTTGATTTTAAGTGATACCGTAATATATGAATATTCTCACTTTGTGGCCTGGAACCCCTGAGGAACCTGGGAAGGAAGTAGGCTGAGTCTATACAAACTCATTAACACCCTGGAAAACTGAATGGAAGTAAATGCCAAATGCTGATGGGGCTCTGATGTTGCTCTCAGGAGGCTTATCTCTGTGTGTGAAGCACAGCAGGTTCTATTTTGAAAGCCAGTAGAGGAGGTTGTTTGAGGGCGGCTTGCTTTTTAAAACGGGGCATTGAAGAGTTGAATAGCCAGGTTTGTCCCTCTTGGGATCCAGACTTAGATGGATGAAAGGTAGGTGGAGCAGGGTTGGAAGTGACAGAGTTGAGACACTGCTGCAGCTGGTAACTGGCCTCCACAGTGAGGTAGGTGCCCAGCTGAGCTAGTGTAGCTTCCTTTTCTACCTTTTTCTTCATATATCACTTTTCTTTTCAAATAGACTTGCCTTGACGTTGCTGTCTTTTGAGGTTATCATAAACCAAACTGTCTTTCCTCTTCAATCAAGAGGTAAAAAGAAAGGCAGGACAGAACTTTAAAATTCCAGTTTGAAGATGATCACATGCCACACTACTGTGTTCTGTGAGGGTGTAAGATCAGAAAAGGACTGTCTAATTAGAGGAGCCCTTAATCACACCCTGAGGGATAGCGTGGCCATGGTTTCATTTTACCTTGCTATACTGTGGATTCTCCCGATGACCGGTTCTGTATTTTAATAAGTGACACCCTTGGTCCCCTGCAGCCCCTTTAGCAAGGCCGCACACACAATAGGCACGTCCTTTTCAACGATGAAAGCACAGATTTAAGTGATCTTTGTCTCATCTACCCAACCACAGTTATTGGTATGTAAATTATGTCTTTTGGTAGCATAGTTTAAACCTCATGGTTTATGTTTTCTTACTGTGGCCAAGGGAACTATAGCTGAGAAACTGTGTTCTTTCTGAATTTACCATTTTGAAAATGATAACCATTGATAGAGAATAAGCAGATGCTCTCTCTTGTCCTTTGACTTCTGCCCTGGCCTCTGCTGCTTGCGCTGAGAGCCTCTTGCAGTAGGTCTGATCTTTCGGCTGATGCAGAGTCGACCCCAAGTTTCTGTTCAGAAAGATCCTCCCAGCCTCGGCGGCCGGGCCGGCTGCTGCTTGGCTGCGGCTGTCCGGTAGCCCCAGCTGTGTCAGTACAGCCCTGGGAGCCATACTGAAGAAACTCAGGCGAATGTAGTCCAACAGACATTTATCCAGTGCCTTTTGAGCTTGAGGCAGTTCGTGGATATTTTACAGGGATCCAGAGGCAAGTAAGACAAAGCCCCCACTCGCCAGGAGGTGTGACTGCCTGGGGTGGGGTAAAAGTGCCGTAAACATAAGTAACTTCATATAAGGAAGACCCTGCTAAGTGCTTCAGTGAAGGTCAGAAACAGAACATACACAGCAGACTGGGGGCTAAGGAGAGCTCTGGTGGTTGTTCACGGATTATAGGTCAGTTATGCACTGTGCACCAGAATAATTGCAATCACTTGAAACGACTTGCCCTCTTCCCTGTTTGTTTCTTTTTTTTTTTACATCTTTATTGGAGTATAATTGCTTTACAATGGTGTGTTAGTTTCTGCTTTATAACAAAGCGAATCAGTTATACATATACATATGTTCCCATATCTCTTCCCTCTTGCATCTCCCTCCCTCCCACCCTCCCTATCCCACCCCTCCAGGCGGTCACAAAGCACCGAGCTGATCTCCCTGTGCTATGCGGCTGCTTCCCACTAGCTATCTACCTTACGTTTGGTCCTGTTTGTTTCTTAGTTTGCTGTTACAAAGTGGGATGCAGTAGTCTCTGCTCCTTGGAAGTATAAGTATATCTTTGAAATGAACACTATCCAATTTCAAATGTCAGTGGTTATATCTCCTCCCAAGCAAGCTTGCTCAGAATTTCAGACTAGAGAAAGGAAAGAGAGCCAACGAGCTAGTAGGTTGTTTGGGGAATCTGCGTCTGGCACTGAAGGTGGAGGAACAAGGCAGGTAGGGGAGCTTGGTGGAATTCTTCCCCCAGCCCCTCTGGGTACCACTCCTCACCCCTGCCCATCCTGCAGTGCAATTAGTGCCACCTTCTGCCAGGTCTCCCTTCAGGCTGCCTCTCCAGGCTTCATCTTGCTATTTCTGGAGCCTCCTCCCTAGATCTTAGCTGTAACCTGCTTGAAAGCTTTCTGTGACGTCTCGTCACCTACTGAATAAGTCTGAACTTCCCCACCTGGCAGTCTCAGCACCCAGTGATCCAGGCACGTCACTCTCTTCCCTGTGGCTGTCTGCACACCAGTAAGACTGAGGGACTTGATGTGCTGCCAGACGTACCCTCTCCCTTCCCTGAATGCCAGCAGTAATTGTGCCTGTGGAATGCCCTGTGTACCCTGTGACATCCTGCCCAGATCCTGCTGGCATTTGTTTTATTGTGCATGTTCTGGTTCTCCCAGGTATTATAATTGTGTCATAGTCTGATTTTTTTTTTTTTTTAAACTGTGAGCATTTTGAAGGTCTTTTGTCCTACTCTCTTTTTTCTTTCTTCAAATTCTTTTCCTTTTCCAACTAATGCCTTTCACAAAGCAGGGGCTCAGTAAATAAGTCTCAAAGGAAAGAATGCCATTCATGACATTACTTTTATTCTGGGTTATTTACTCGTTGACTAGAAATAGGGAAATGGGGGCATTAGGAAAGGTCACGGTCAGAGCCATCAAAAGTTTAAATGGCTGGTTACTCTCGTAATCTGATTTGGGATCAGCTAGCGTTTACAAAAAGACATGAAGACTTAAAATTAATAAATAAAAATCTGTCTGCCTATCAAAAACTACAAAATAACTTTTAGGATGGCATCATCCCAAGTGAATATGCAGCCCATAATTTTTTAAAGTGTCACTATTTAACCACGAAAATCTCAGTTGTATAGTTATATTTAACTCATGCACATTGCAATGAAATGTTACCACAGAGAAGGTCTCTGAAGGATTAGGCATTCGGTTCAGCCTTGTACTCCAACATGAGAAACAGCGTGTGAGCAGCACATTCATCATGTAATTAAGATATAAATAAAATGCAGTCTCTGCACTGAGGGGGAGAGTATTAATTTTGATGAGGGACTCAGGCAGGGATTCATCTGGAGCTCACATTTTGCTAGACCTTGAGAGATGGGTAGGTTTTCAACGTGTCTCAGTGCACAGGGGAGAGCAGGAGCCTCCAGGGCGGCAAGGAGCTTGGCCTGAACAGAGGCACTGAGTATTTTAGGGGATGCCCTTTTCAGAGAGGACCAGGCAGTTTTGGAACAGGACCCTGTGCATAGGTGGGAGAGGATAGCAGTGGACAGTGAGACTGAAAAGGTAGGTTAGGCCTATTTTGAAGGACTTTAGATGCAAGGTTAAATTTAGAATTTGGAGTTTGGACCGTGGGAAGCTAGAACATTGTACCAAAGCTGATTTTTCAGTGTCCTAACTCTCTCTAAGAATGCATTCTCCTTTCTCTCGTCCACCTGATAGTGGTGTGGAAAGAGTCCCAATTGTTAGGGTGATGTCTCCTTGCTTTAAATCTGACTCCCAGGGGGAAGGAAGCACCAGGGTGGGAAGCCTGAGACACGTAGTATGAGGGGACACTCCCTCCCTTTCCCACCAGGCAGCCCCTGTACCTCCAGCTACGATGGCCATCAGTGTTCTTGATTATGAGGAATAAGGTAGGGTGCTTTGACTACTAAAGGAGCTAACCCTCCGTATCCTTTTCTTTGAGAAGAGAGGGAGGAAATATAAATGTGTGCTATTTTAAGTGATCTTTTTAATTCTGTAGGATTAATCACAACGAACGGTTGGAGTTCCTGGGTGATGCTGTTGTTGAATTTCTGACCAGGTAAGTAGGCTTTTCTGCCATTCCCCAACAATTGCATTTTATAGGTAACATACTTAATACATACCTTCTTTGTAATTAGCCAAATAAGGCCTTGAAACACCATGTTTTTGTCTCCTCTGTAGAGCTGAAAAGCTACATGTCTGTGGCTCTTGCCCTCACTGATAACTTGCACTCACTGATGCTCTAATGAGCAAGATTACAGGATGAAAGGCTACTGTCTCCGTCCTGTCAAGTTTATGTTCAAGTTGCTACAGCCAGAAGAGATCAGCTTGTCTTGGTCTAGATGCTTCAGAGCTTCTATTCAATTTGTAGCGAAAGGGATGATATTTTAAAATGTCATTTCATTTTCTAGGATTTGTCTTTGATCCCTTTCTCACTCTTCCTGAACTCAAGGGAAGTAAAGTTTACAAGAATTTTAATAACTAGATTTTGGTGTGTGTGTGTGTGTGTGTGTGTGTGTGTACGTGTTTCTGTATGTTTTCTCCGCAGAAATATTTTAGGGTCCTTAATTTGGAGGTAGGGGTAGGAAATTACATTTTGTTTTTTCATTACTCATAAAATTTCCCTTTTAAAGGGAGATAACACATGTTTCTCTTGGAACTGTCTTGAGCTATTTTTATTCTCTTTAGGTCATTTCTTTTCCCGGAAGGACATAATGAGGCAAAGGTGCTGTTTTCTAAGCTTGTTCTCACTGGACACAGTAGGACTAGACAAGCTCAGCTGCCCCGATCAACAGTGGGTCTGAGACACCAGTGTGAGAGTTAGGGGAGCGCAGTTAGTGTCATGGTCTGAACGGGTCTTCCATCAGCCTTCTTCCTAATTCCCTTACTTTCCTGATCAACAGCGCCGGTTCTGTGTGCCACTCGTGTTCCTGTTCCTGTCCCTGTCTGTACTTGTGAAGAACGTGCCGCACAGCTGCCCTGCTCAGAGCTCCCAGGCTCCTCTTCAGGGGCCCTCATAACCCAACCCAAGCAAAGCCCTCTGTTTCCAGGCTCAATTTTCATGTATTAGATAGGTTTGCTCTCAGCAGTGTATGAATGTTTGTTCAGGTCTTTGTTGTTATCATATTTCAGAGAAATCTTTTTACAGAAGTCAGTGTGAACGTATGAGTGCATGGTGGTGCTTGGGTTTTAGCACATTCAGATATACCGTGCATACTGTTTAACTTTCAAAGACCCTACAGTTTAGTTCACTTCAGCTGGTATGTATTGCCCAGATGTAATGTGTCAGGCCTGTTTTTTGGACTCAGAACCACAGACAGAATATTGTGATACATGTTTACTTATATGCTTTTTTTTTTTTGGCAGTGTCCATTTGTACTATTTGTTTCCTAGTCTAGAAGAGGGAGGATTAGCAACCTATCGGACTGCCATCGTTCAGAACCAGCACCTTGCCATGCTAGCAAAGGTACGTCAGATATCTGAAGCAGTCCATGCATAATTTTGCATTTGAATAAGTAACCCTTTAGGGTGCATTAAGGGTTTAATATTTTATAGACGAGGAAGGACTTTTTTGTTTGGGTTTTAAGGATTCAGCCTTATTAGTTCTGTTACCTTAGTGAGTTTCACCAGCAGCCAGTGAACTCCACAGTGAGGTAACTTGATAAGAGAAGAGGAAAAATTTGACAGGTGTGCGTGTACAGAGTTAAACATTTGGGGAAAGGAACATGAGAACAGAGTAAAAGAAATGAAACATTTCGTATTTTCCCTTTGTGTAATATTTCTGTATTATAATTGTTTTTAATTTACTTTAACAAGCAGAATTATAGCTTTGAATAGAATACTCCAGGCCATTTGTATCCACAGGGGATGCTTTACAGATCTTTGAGAATTCCCCCCAAATCACAAATCCTATTAATGAAGATTTAGGTTTTAGGCTGTTCAGCTAGCCACGTTGACTAGCTGAGTGACTAGCAGAAACTTTTCTTGATTTAGATTCATGGTAGGCATGTTTCTTACATTATCTCATTTGATCTTCCTGTCTCTGTGCAGTGTCTTTTTTTTAAATTAATTTTTATTGGTGTATAGTTGCTTTACAATGTTGTGTTAGTTTCTTGCACTGTCTTATCATAAATCATAACGGATAGGACATGGGCACTTGCCTGGGCCGTCAGAATACCCACAGGGGGACCATGGACAAATTGTTATTCTCTTTGCCAAGCCTCTGCTTTCTCATCTATAGAATGGAGATGGCATTAGCATCTACTCCACAGGGTGGTTGTGAGAATTAAATGAGATTATCATTTGAGTTTTAATGATTCCACTTGTAAAGTGCTTGGTGCAATGCCTGTTCATAGTAATCACATAAACATATGAATAAACTAGTAGGAGTTAGTTGTTTTTATTGCTGCTGCCGCTTATAAATTACATTTATAAATCATTACATTTTATAGGCCTGTGGGTTTATTCAGTAGTAAGGGGAACGGTGGCTGTTAAATTCCCAAACAGTAGTGATCCATTAGAAAAGCTTTTGTGAATTTTCCTTGATTTTTGCCTTAAGTAGTTTTATTTTTCTTCATTTTGATATAAATGTTGAAATCTGGTAAAAAAGACTAGATAAAACCCATTCTAGTTTTATGACTGATTTTTTTTAAAACATATTTATTTATTTTATTTATTTATTTTATTCCGGCTGCATCAGGTCTTAGTTGTGGCACTCGGGGTCTTCATTGCAGCGTGCGAGCTCTTTGTTGTGGTGCACGGATTTTCTCTCCCTAGTTGTGGCGCGTGGGCTCCAGGGCACGTTAGTTTGCAGCACGCAGGCTCTTTCGTTGAGGCGTGCTAGCTCAGTAGTTATGGCACACAGGCTTAGTTGCCCTGAGGCACGTGGGATCTTAGTTCCCCGACCAGGGATTGAACCCGCGTCCCCTGCATTGGAAGGCAGATTCTTTACCACTGGACCACCACGGAAGTCCCTGACTTCTTAATTTGATCTTGCCAAGGTATTAATTACATCTAAAATGTGGTTACTTTTATCCCACAGTTTTCGTGTTAGCAAGAGTGCATTGCTTTATCATATATAACATCCTCATCATAGCTATGTTGGTAGGCTTTGACCTAGCTTCAGTGGCATTTGAGAATATAGACAGTGATGCCTTCAGGAAAAACTATAGGCAACAGGTATGCTAACTTGGTTTTAGCCTTACAGTGAATGAAATTCCACAATCTATATAAAACTGCTTCAATGTTTAATTGATTTAATTGTCAAGATGCTTCCTGATAGTTCATGTAAGTGTCCATTGGAAATACCTTTAATAAGTAGATTGTCAGCACGCTCCCCCCACCTCGCCATTGTTTTCTTTTCAGTTTCAGATATAATAGAATTGCATAATTGTTTTTCAAACAATTGTAGGGAGGATATTTACAAAGTGTGGGAAATTACCATAGTATGAACATGGATGCTGTTACATAACACAGTGGGTGCTGTACAAAGCCATGAGTTATGATGGGGGTGGCCAGTTTCTCCCTTCAGGGATTTCTGTGTGGTCTTCCTCTACCCCAAACCCTGACATTCCCATAGCACTCAACACCCATCTCCTTCAGCAGTAGGCAGTGGTGGTCTTACCCTTCTTCTGTCTAGACCAGTGGTTCTTAACCATTTGGAAGGAGGGACTTGGTGGAGGAGTATTGCTGACTCTGAGGAGGTAATGAAAGCTCTAGGTCAGCGCTCCAGACAGGAACATTTTAACACATGCACAGTGGAGCACCACTCTCCTTTTTAAAATTTCCACTAATGCCTTCATGAAAAAATAAGGATATAGAGGAGGTATTATGAGAAGTTGGAAAATTCATAGCATTCCAGAATAGTTGTTTATAATATAAAATATGGCTTGCACTCTACTCTCAAGCACGGCTCCAGAGATAGCAAACAATTGGATTTTCCCAGTGAAGTTGTGAAACAAGTGAAATTTACATATTCTACTATAAACTCTTGCACTTGGGGATCAATTTTTTAAAAAGAGGTGGTTTCTGCTGTTGCATTTGTGGTAGTCAAAACTCTCATTTGAGTTTATAATACACTCATGAATTCCTAGGAATACAAAATACTGATAGCATATACGTCCCATTTTTATTGTCCCTTTTTCCAATGTAAACAGATATGGGTATTTTTAACATACATATCAAGACATACAAAATCTGAGTCTCTTTTATCTGAGAGCTGATGAGATTCATATTGTCCTCGGTTGTTCATTGACTTGCGACTTGTTCCATATTACGTGGCATGTTATTGCTTAGTAAGTATTTATTGAACTGAATTACATGGTAATAGAAACAGATTTATTGCATGCTTATGCAATGTCTGTATCTTTCTCCTTTTATGGCATGAATTATGAGTTCCATTTATTCAATCTCAGGAGTTTTATTAAAAAACCATACTGTGTCTAGTTCTAAAAGGACTTGATTTGTACATTGTAATACAATAGGATAAGAAATAAGTAGCTACTGAACTCAAAATAAAGAGAAAATATGGGTAAGACAGTAAATGAAGGCGGAAGTAAAGTTAGTGTGCACAGATATATTCATTAAGTCCTAAACAATTTCTAGAACTGGGCCGTAAATTTGTCTCTAAACTTGTCTGAGGCCCAATAAAAAAAGAAAATATAATTCATTATAAACCATATTCCCAGAGCCCTTAAGATAGTTCCAACCCATTGCTTAGATCTCACTGAGACTTTAGAAGGATAAGTGTGGAAACCTCAAAAAGCAGACATAAGTACAAAGCTATATGGCTCCCCAAATCCTTGTCAAATAAAAAGATTTAGAGATATAAGACATTTTGAAGTCTTCTGAGGGTCCCCATTTACTCTACCACATAAAAATCTCTTACATATGGTACAAACACCATCAATACCACATAACTCTGGAATCCTAGAGGTTAACTTTGGGTTGGGTTTGTATCTCCCTAGACGTATTGGGTGAACCCAAGGGTATGGTCTTGTAACAGAGTCTTATTCCAGCTTAAGCTAGTCCTTTTTCTGAACCTGGAATTGGACAGCTCAGATCTGATCAGTTCTGAACCAAATTGAACCATCAGAGTTCATAGAAGCTTGTTTGGGGAAAAGTCGAGGTTTGTCAGTGCTAAGCCATATGTAAGGACTCGTAGGGAATGGTGACTAAATTTTCACATAAGGCCAATTAAATTGTAACCATACCCCTAGGAGATGCTGAGTTATTACAGTTACAGTACGATTTTGTCGATTTTTTTCTTACTTTCTGTCATTTTGAATTTTGTAGAAACTTGAACTGGATCGATTTATGCTTTATGCTCATGGACCTGACCTTTGTAGAGAATCAGACCTTCGACATGCCATGGCTAATTGTTTTGAAGCATTAATAGGTAATTTCTCACTTATAGTCTAATTTCCTGCATGTCTACAATGTCTGGAGGGCACATAAAATTCAGTGTGCAGACTTAGGACAAAATTACTTGTTCCCAAAGCATGTGAGGTCCCCAGTATAATACCCACCTCCTTATACTATAGTTATTGTAGTTCCTCCAGAGCAGCAGTCATGCTTTCTTTTCTTGAAATCCTTGTACCATGTCATGTACATGCTTAGTATATACTGAACTGAAGTGCAGTGAATTAATATGGGGATGGATTACTTGCCAGATTTGATTCAGGATCACATACATGAATAAGTTGCTGGTGAGGCCCTAATACTGTTTTTGATCACATTTTAAACTATTCACAGGATTTTCTGATTTAAACATCTTGAAGACACCACATATTTAAAATCCCAGGGCTTGAGTCTCTATAACTATTGTTTATTCACTTGAAGCAAGACTGATGCAGACACTTTACTTACTCACTCAGGCTCTTTACTTCCTCAGTTTCTTTTTTACTGTAACTAGAATATAATTAGCTGTTTGTACAGGAAAGTTATGAAGAGTTAATTAGCTGGTGATTGCAAGTATGCTTTACAATGAAACGTTTCAGTAGATTGACAATTCCTTGATTTTTTAAGGTAAACGATTGAGTGCATTTTTCAAAGGGCTTTGTACTTCCTTATCAATTTTGCCCTCTTTCTTTGAAAATGAATATAAAAGCTTCCCATTGTAGTTCCATGCTGATGATGGTAGCAAGAGAATGTTTAATAATTATCCACAGTCTTTTCACAGGTATGTCTGTTTTGCACAAATATGTCTATTTTCAGAGGGTTTGTCACGTGGAGTGACTGTGCTCTGTAGACATAATACTTTTGACTGTTAATGTTACAGTTGACCCCATAGCCTGGCACACATGATTCAGTTCCCTTTTGTATCATTTATTGGCTCTGTATCTTTGCCAAGTTATTGAATCTCTTTGAGGCTCAGTTTCCCCATCTATGACATGGAGATAGTATCACTTACCTCACAGAGTTGTAACGATCTTAGTATCTGATCCTGGTTGCATCAAATCCAGAGCAAAGTTCCATTTCCTTTAACCCTCCCCAAAATCACCTACTATGGGCCCCAGTCCTGTAAATCTTTTCTAATACCCTCTTACTAAGGTGCCCTTGAAGGTGAAGATAAGAATGTGAAAATGCTTTGTACAGGGCCTAGGGCATGAGTGACCCCCACAAACCCCTACTACTACTACTACTGTCATCATCATCATCATTATTATTGTTATTATCATTATTACTACAACTATTGATAAATAATAAGTGTATTTAGTCATCAAAAGCCCTGGTGACTAAGTATCTGAATATTTTATGTGGAAAATAGCCTTTCTGAAGACAGATGTAAAAAATATGATTTTAAGAACTAGCCTACTCCAGTTATTTGATACCCAGTTAAGATGTTACTATAGTACTTACTGGTTATGATGAATGGTAAACGTGTACAGTGCTTAGTTATTTCAAAAAATTTTTAATAATTATTTCTAATTAAAGGTAAAGGTTATCCTGATTTTTATTTGCAGAAGCCTTAATTGATCTGAGCTCAAATTTTATCTGTGGTCTGAAATATAAACTATAAATCTAGAAAATAAAACATAACATTTTCATAAAGTTAAGTATTTGTGCATAGTTCCCTTAGTCACTAATGGTTCATACCCATATCCTTCACGATAGTTCATAGTTGGCCTCTTTTTCTTACAAAATAAGGTTTATGTTTTAGTAAATTGAATTTCGTATTTCAGTCTAACTTACAACACAAAGCATAGCTAAAAGAGGGAAAATGCTACCTTTAAAACAATTGCTTCTGGGCTTCCCTGGTGGCACAGTGGTTTGGAGTTCGCCTGCCGATGCAAGGGACACGGGTTCATTCCCCGGTCCGGGAAGATCCCACATGATGCGGAGTGGCTGGGCCTGAGAGCCATGGCCGCTGAGCCTGCGCGTCCGGAGCCTGTGCTCCGCAATGGGAGAGGCCGCAACAGTGAGAGGCCTGCGTACCGCAAAAACAAAACAAAACAAAAAAAACAATTGCTTCTGATCTTGTCAAATTTTTCTGTGAGTGGGTTTTGGCTTGCCTTTTTGCTTTTTTATGGAGATATGTAATTTTCTCTGAATATTAATGCAGCCTTCCTTTTGACATTCTCTTCCTTTTATCTAGGAGCTGTTTACTTGGAGGGAAGCCTGGAGGAAGCCAAACAGTTATTTGGACGCTTACTCTTTAATGATCCGGTATTTATCTCAATTCATTTGATTTTTCTCAGTTATATATCATTACAGAAGATTTTATATCAATTAGTCTTTGTATTTTAAAGAGCGTGTAAGAGAAACAAAAACCCCAAATCTACCATAGATGGTAGATTTCAAGCACTTCAAAAATAGCTTAGGGCTTCCCTGGTGGTGCAGTGGTTGAGAGTCTGCCTGCTGATGCAGGGGACACGGGTTCGTGCCCCGGTCCGGGAAGATCCCACATGCCGCAGAGCGGCTGGGCCTGTGAGCCATGGCCGCTGGGCCTGCGCGTCCGGAGCCTGTGTTCCGCAATGGGAGAAGCCACAACGGTAAGAGGCCCGCGTACCGCAAAAGAAAAAAAAAAAAAAAAAAAAAAGCTTATTCAACTCTGTCACAGATGGGAAAGTCCTGTGGACATTTACACTAGTTTGACTTCTACCCGAAACCCCATCTTTCCTCAGGTCACTTTTAAGTTAAATATGAATACAAATAAGGTAGGACTTTGCTTTATTTTGAAGTATCTTGAAATTAATTATGATTTTATATTTTATAATCATTGGGTACCTACCCCATGCAGGCTTAGTTGAAGCTATAGCCTTTTGGCTTTTCTGTTTATGATTTGTTTTTATGTAAGTTATGTAGACTAGATAAATGTATATTTATTTTAGAAAGTCAGTTCATAGGGAGTTTCTGATAGGGCTATGAATAAAGAATATGGAAGTACTTTTTTTTTTTTGAAAGCAAATTATAGCTCAAGAAGAAATGATAGATTCTAAAATAATTCCTGTTTTTACTAAAGTATTAAGCCATTAATATTGCCAGGGCTACCTTTTTAATCCTGCATGTAATAGAGCATACTGGCTGCTTTTTGTACCCAAACAAGTCAATTTAACATTTAAAGGGAGAGGCAACTCTGTATTCCCTATTGAAATGTCATTATAATTGAATGAAATAGCCCTCATGGAGCAGTAAAGAACGTAGGAAGCCAGGGTTTTAAGCCTTTGTGAAACCTTCAATGTAAGTGGCTGTCAGATGTTATTACTGTATTCCTTAGGATAGTTAAAAAAAAAAAAGAATCAATAGTTTTGAAAAATGGGGCCTGGATGATGCTCATATCTGAGGATTTGATCTTCTTTTACCTGTTTTTATAGAGATAGGTGGTGATTTTATACGTGTGAATTTCCTCCCGGTGGGAGCATTATCTACAGGTGTTCCATGTCCCCCATTTTGTCCTACAACCTATATAAACAAGTGTGCATCTCGATTTGTATCTGTAGCAGATGTATTTTAAGTCTTTTTCTCAAAACTTAAAATAACTTTGTTCTGGCCTTTATCTTTTGTTGGCAGTTTCAGCAACCTCTTTACTTTGTTTGCTCCTCCAGCCTTGCCTCTGTGTGCCCCCTCACCCCTTGAACCTATCCTCCACCTACTCCTGCCCCTGTCCTCCCATCTTACCTGCATCCCCCATCCACTCTGTGTTCCCATTTTCCTGAATTATATGCAGCTTTATACCTGGTAGTCTTAATTGCATCAGTTTTGTTTAGATTCTTTTCTCTCTTTAAACTGCTTCTCTCCCACTTGTCTACTTAGCAGGCTTATCTTTTATTTCCAGTACCAAGTACAATGCTGGCATGTGCAGAGTTTAATAAATATTTGTTAAAGGAATGAAATGGATAAATGACTAAATGAAAAAGCAGAGTCTGAACATCATCTTACCAATGGGACGGCTGACATTCAGAATTTGTTTTAGTCATTTTAGTGTGTCTTTTGTGAAATTGAACAGTGCTTAGTAATATATGGTCTTCCCACTTCAGCGTTTTCAAGTGCGCACACTTGGACAGTCTAACTCATCTGACATCTCCATACCGGTTTACATCCCTTAGTTGTAGTATGTGAGAGATTTTGGCGAACCATCGTACTTTTTCTTGAGTAATGGTTCTGTGAAAGTCCAGTCAGCCAAAGACAGCCAGAGACAAGCTGTAGGTTTACTGACTCCACGCATGGGGCTGGGGGAGGGGGCAGGGGGCATGCTCATAACAGGGAGGGGACCCTCCTTTCTGAGGCCTGGGCTGGTGCTGACCGGTTCCGAGGGGCCAGGAAAGCAGGGATCAGTTCTTGTTTGGTTGCCGTGTCTGAGGCCGGGTTAGAAGAAGCAGTGGGGGCTTCTCTGGTGGCGCAGTGGTTGAGAGTCCGCCTGCTGATGCAGGGGACGCGGGTTCGTGCTCCGGTCCGGGAAGATCCCACATGCTGCAGAGCGGCTGGGGCCGTGCGCCATGGCCGCTGGGCCTGTGTGTCTGGAGCCTGTGCTCCGCAACGGGAGAGGCCACAACAGTGAGAGGCCTGCGTACCGCAAAAAAAAAAAAAAAAAAAAAAAAAAAGAAGAAGAAGGGGATTAATTTGGGATTGGGTGCTGTCAGGAGCCAAGGGGCAGTTTAGCTATTGAGTGTCCCTCGCAATCTTTATTTCGGGGCTAAGACATAGCAGAGCAGGTCAGAGGGCAACACTGGTGGGAGAGCAGTTGTTTCTCAAACCAGGGGGTCGTTCAGGGTTTTACAGATGCTGTAAGACCTTGAGGGAAATGCTGTTTCCTGTTAACTTGGAAGCTGGCTTTATGTGCATCGTCCTATCAGCCCTGTTAACAGAAGGGCTATTTTTCTTTCTCAGCCTGAACTACTTTTTACTCTTTCAGCCCCAGGATGATTTTGCCAATTCTGTGTTTTCAGGTCTGTGTGACCCTTCCCGGCTTACCCAGCACATTCAGAGCCACTGTTTCCATTTGACCATCCAATGACCCTCTCAGAAACATAGGGAGCAATTACTATGTAATCTTTCCTAGTCTCCCACTCCCCACCCCATACACACCTCTTTTTGTCTGTGCATATCTGTCCCAATTTCTCTGACCCAGGCCTTTCTCTGGAGCTCCAGAAATTGGAAAAAGTGTCTTTTCAAATTGCCTCTGGGCAGCTTCACCTGGGTGTTCCACAGACACCTAATTTCAACAGGTTTAGTATTTGAATTCAATGCCTTAGCCCCCAAACATATATCTCCTTCTTTAATTTTATGATCTAAACCAGAAACCTTAGGGTATTCTTTTGTCCTTAAGCTTTTTTCTCATCTCCATTCAGTTGCAAACCCCTGTCAGTTCGGTCCCTCGTATCTCCTGAGTGGGTTTATTCTTGGCCGTACTGCTGCTTTTTTTTTTTTTTTTTTTTTTTTTTTTTTTTTTTTTTTGCGTTTTTTTGTCCTCTCACTGTTGTGGCCTCTCCCGTTGCGGAGCACAGGCTCCGGACGCACAGGCTCAGTGGCCATGGCTCACGGGCCTAGCCGCTCCGCAGCATGTGGAATCTTCCTGGACCGGGGCATGAACCCTCGTCCCCTGCATCGGCAGGCGGACTCTCAACCACTGCGCCACCAGGGAAGCCCCGTACTGCTGCTTTAACGTTTGTCCTCCTCGTCTCTCATCTGCCATAATTAACCCGTTGTCCTTCCCTGCTGCTCTAGTCCATCATTCATGCTGCGTTTAGTGTTGTCTTCTTTTTAATGCAGAGATTTGATTATGGTCTTTGTGGCTTAAAATCTTTGGTTTCTTTATTGCCTGCCAAAGTCTATATTACACAACATAGCATTTAATAGTTCTCATAATCTGACTCCCACCTATTTTTTCAGTCTCCTTTCTTTTCACTCCCTCTTTGTGCCATTCTAGGAATTACCTTTTTTTAATTTTAATTTCTTTTGAGTCTGTTATAATTTAACCAATAAGTGTTTATTTTATTTTATCTTTTGCTTTACAGTGTTGTGAAAAATTTTTTTTAGGTTTACAGCAAAATTGAGAGGAAGGTACTGAAATTTCCCATATATTCCCTGCCCCACACATGCACAGCCTCCTCCACTATCAGCATCCCTGACCAGAGAGGTAAATTTGGTATAATCAGTGAACCTGCACTGACATATCATAATCACCCAAAGTCCATAGTTTACATGAGTGTTCACTCTTGGTGTACATTCCGTGGGTTCAGACAAATACGTAATGACATACAGCCACCATTACAGTGTCATACGTTTTCACTGCCTTCAGATCCTCTGTGCTCTGCCTATTAAGAGTTACCCTTTTGTGTGTGTATACTTTGAGACCTATTATTTGTGTATGTATGGTACCCTGCTTTTGATTCCCTCCCTCTGCTGATGTACTGAATTCCTCAGTGTTCTGTGTTCTTAAGAATACAGCTGAAAAGTCACTTCCTTTTTGAAGCTTGATCTGACACCCCAGGCAGAGTTTTCCTGGCACTTGGTATATATACATCACTATTATAGAATTTGTCATAGTTTATTAAATTATACTTATTTACCTTCATTCTTCCCCACTAGGCTCCTTTGAGGACAGAGATAGTGTCTTATTCGTCTTAGTAAGCTAATATGTAACAGGTATTCAATAAAAATATGCTGTATGATCTAATGTCCCAACAGTCAATGAACATTTTCCAGAAGAGCAAACTGAAGGTAGAGGCTTTACCTAAGGTCCTTGGGCTAATAGAAGGCAGAGCTGGGATTCCAGTCGAGATCTTTTCCAGGGTATTTTCTCTGACCCCAAGGGGGCAACAGAACCTTATCTCAGTGTGCAGGGTAGAATAAAGGAAATGGATGCCATTGAAACAGGCTAGTTGTGAGGTTTTTAAGCTATTACACCAAGATGGGTGACAGCAAACATCAAAGAAGAAATCAGTGTTTTTGAGCAAAGAATACATAGGAGAAAGGAGGAAGATGAATCTAGAAGTCCCTGACAGTTTTGAGCTTTGGAGATTGAAGTTGGTCAGGAGAGAGAGTTGTTTGTCGTCATTGTTGATGTCATCATTATTAATAGTGGCATTTTCTGTGTGCCAGCACTGGGTTCAATGCTTTGAGTACATTGCTTACTGAGGCATCAGAGAACAGTCTGAAGTAGGTACTGTGATTATCTTTGTCTTACACTTGAGGAAAGGTTGGCTCAGGGAGGTTAGGTAACTTGCCAACGGGGAATCAGGATTAAATCAGGCAGCCTGTCTCCTCATCCTGCAGCTTTTTCTAACACCATACTCCCTAGTTTAAGGTGAAAGGTAAAAAGGTATGATTTGGTCATTTAGGTTTGAGGTAAAAGTGCCCATAAAGGCACCTAGAGTTATGGACTTGTAGCTTGGGTGAGAGGTCAGAACTGCAGCAGAGATGAACAAGTGATTTAAACAGAGGTAGCAGTTAAAGCAATGGGAATGACAGGGCTCTCCAGAGAAGCAGGTAATGAATAGGTCAGGCAAGGGGCTGAAGTTTGGTAAATGTCCGTTTCAGGTACAGCAGGAAGAGAAAAAGCATTGAGAGAACATGAGAAAGCTGCAGGAAGGGAGTGACATTCAGTATAATTTATGCTACAGAGAATTCAAGGGAAAGGTTATTGAATTGGTTAAGAGAAGTCCTTTAAATAGCTTTAAAAGAACAGTTTGATATTTAAGCTTGTTTTTTATATTGGCAAAATAAAACACCAAAAACAAAACCTAAGTGTATTTTATTAAGATGCAAGTTGTACAAAAATATCAGGTATTTTATTTCACTTTGTCATCATCTGATCACAAGTGATAATATATTTTCCTATACTTCCCCCCTCCAAAAATTAAAAAAAAAAACTTGTCTTTTAAAAGTTTTGTCATTTATCTCAAAAACCTATCATCGAGGCCAGAAAGGAGATTCAGTTGGAGGCTCCCTAGAGTCTAAAACTGAAGGAAAAACACTTTAATCCCGAGGAAGGTCTAATTATAACTGCCTCTGGATTTAACTCAATGGATTAGGATTTTCCACAGAATTTATTCTTTTATTTATTCTCTTCTTTCAAGTATACATTTGTAATGATCCACAGTAAAAGTGTGGTCTTACAAATCTAAGTGTTTAGGAACTAGATATGGGGTGTTTTCCACTCCATCTTAAAACAACTCAACGATAATGAATTAGTGCCTAAATAAAGGACCATTTGAGATGAGTTTTCATTACAAAAGGCACAGCTGATGTACATTTCTGGGGAATGGTAAACTAAAAAATGTGATTAAAACAGCAGCTTAATCCAGTGTATTAGGTTAAGCAAATGGGTAACTTAGTTTTAAAAGGTGTCTTTGACTCTTGGGGGTGTGGGAGGCTCTTTTCCTCCCCAGCTTAATAGGCTAATTAGAGTCACTGCAGGCAATTTGAGTGGTGAATACACTTAAAAAAAAATAGTTTGCCAGCACTATTAAATTTGCAATAAGTGGAGTCAGCATCTAAAATAGTTCAGTATTTCACATAATGGCATTTTATTTAGCACTCTAGAGTGTGTTAAATGGCTCCCTCAAGCATTAAAGGCATCACTCCATTTTCCAGGACTTGCGCGAAGTCTGGCTCAATTATCCTCTCCACCCACTCCAGGTAAGTGTGACCTTCCTGTCTGCAGTAAGCTTTATAACTCTGGGCATTCATGATGCTTCAGTCTGCCTTTTGTCCCTTCCTGCTTTTATTCTTTGATTCCCTTCTGTGGCTTTATGACTTTAAGCTGGGGTGTCAGACCGGAGAACTTTGGAACAAATATTAAAACGATGCCATGTGTTGCCCTCTTTGTGGTCTGGGGTGAGGTGGGGGAAGCACTGGGAGTCACCTTCCCTCACGAGGCAGGGAGAACTACTTGCGTGGCTGTGGTTTGGTCCCTTCTCTTCCGCAAAACAGTGATAGTCAAAGCATAATATGTTGTCTCCAGTATATCTACATGCCTGCTATTATAGGGAAAATAATATGGAAGCAAGTCTGGGCTTATTACAAAGTAGAACAAATACTAAATTAACATTGCTAAATCGTAACCTAATTTGGGTCTTAGAAGTTGAGGGCTTTGACTTTGATGCATAAAACATATTGTAAATTAAAATTTTAGTACAGTATAATGGCTTTTTATTCAAGATTTTGGAATTTAAAAGATCTACATATGGTGACACTTTTTTCCCCAGTTGGTTTAAAAATTCTTACTATGCTTTTATTACCATTTTACCTTGGAGATACACATCATATACATACACATGTAAATGTATACTCATATATACATATTTTTGTATTGTATATTATGTATATATAAAAGTCATCACTAGTGGCTGAACTCTCTCATGAGAGGCTTTACAGTAATAAGTGACATTAATTCAGAGTACTTTAGAAACATTTTATGAGTATGAGCTTGCCCAGAGTTCCTGAAAATATTCATTTTATTTAAACTCTTCATAATTGCTCTCTGCTAGTGGTTAAAGTCTCATTGTTATGTGGAGCACCTGACTAGTGGTATAATAATCTCCAGTGTGATAAAACTGAATCCAGTTTTAATGATGTTCATTTGCCAAAATAGGTTGGTCCCTAGAAGACACGCAGAGGTCAAGTTACTCAATGCAGAGATTCTCAAAAGCTGGTCCCCAGACCAGCAGCATCTGCATTACCTGGGAACTTATCAGAAAGGCAAATCCTTGGTCCTTATTCCAGTCATACTGAATCAGACGCTCTGGGGGCAGGGCCTGGCTATCTGCTTTTAACAAGTCCTACAAGGGTTTGATGAACACTAAAGTTTGAGAACCACTGAGTTACCAGATAGATATATATGTATTCTCTACCAGTGGTTCTTTAGCTTGCCTCTTCCTTGGAGAGCTAGTATAATACTTGGGATTTTGAACTATCTGTGTACAGTATTTGGCCTTGAAATCTGATAGAAGATTGGAAAATATTATTTGAGCCTTCTTTAAATATTAGGTTTGTTTGCCATTCTAAGGGATGAGAAAGAAGCTTTCGTGTTTTATTGGCATTTCAGAAATTTCTGCCCGTGGGAGAAGGAAGTTTACAAAACACTATCTTAGAATGGATAATTACTTTTGTAACTAAAAACCGCATGTGATTTTTATTTCTTTCTTCTTGTAGCTTCAAGAGCCAAATACTGATCGACAACTTATTGAGACTTCTCCAGTTCTGCAGAAACTTACTGAATTTGAAGATGCAATTGGAGTAATTTTTACCCATGTTCGACTTTTGGCAAGAGCATTCACATTGAGAACTGTGGGATTTAACCACCTGACCCTGTAAGTTAGAAGTACTCATGTAGTTCTAACATGGGCATTTAGACAAGCAGTCCCAAACGTTTGCTGCATGCCCTTCCAAGGTTGGGGTCTCGAACATATTTCCAGGGAAGTCACGTCGTTCGATGGATGAGCAAGCAGACACCAGTGTGGACCAGAGGATATGCTCTCATCCAGTATTTTTGGTCTCATTGTCATGCATCTTATTTCTCTGTAAAGTATAAGAGAAGTGTGAAGGAAGTAAAAACTTCTTCTATGAAGGGACAAATATTATAGGCTTTATAGGCCATGTGGTATCTGTCATGATGATTCAACTCTGCCATAGTAACAAAAGCAGCCACAGGAAAAATGTAAATGAATGAACATGGCTGTGTCCCTTTTTACTAAAACAGGCCATAGGCTGAATGTGGTCCTCCAATCCCTGCTCTGGATGAGTGATTTGAACATGAGCTAATGAAATAATTAATAAAATAACCAAAACGTTGTTTCTTTGCATGGTGTGTTTTATTCAGTTTTGGCTTCCTTCCCCCAAATCAGATATTCACAGTTCTCTTTACACTGTAAAGATTAAGAATTCTTGTCATAGATTTTTTAGTCCTTAACCTAGAGTCCAGATTTGAGTAATGGAGTGTATTTTTCAATAAAAAGATAAAGATTTAGGGCTTCCCTGGTGGCGCAGTGGTTGACAGTCCGCCTGCACATGCCGTGGAGCAGCTGGGCCTGTGAGCCATGGCCACTGAGCCTGCGCGTCCGGAGCCTGTGCTCCGCAACGGGAGAGGCCACAACAGTGAGAGGCCTGTGTACCACAATAAATAAATAAATAAATAAAGATTTAGCAAAGAAAATTCTTGGGCCTTTTTGCTTTGTTTTGTCTGTATGAAGATTGTCTGTGCAACATTGTTGTCTCTGCTGTACAGTTGACCCTTGAATCACATGGATTTCAACTGCATGGGTCCACTTACATGTGGACGTTTTTCAATAAGTATGTGCAACAGTGCTACACAGGGTCGGTTGGTTGATTGGCTGGATCTGCAGATGCGGAACCGACTGGATTTTTGACTGAATGGGGGGGTCGCTGCCCCTAACCCCCTCACTGTTCAAGGATTCAACTGTGCTTTATTTTTCAATTGATACTCCCCAGCTTTTGGCCAGGTACTATTTACTAGTCTTTATCTTAGCAGTTGTTTAATCCTTATAGTACTTACTTTACTCTCCTTTGAAACTGAACCTGTATTGACTCAGATCTCTTCTCAGTTGAGGGGCCTTAGGGAATTATTTTTAGTTTTGTGCTTTAAGCAAGATGAACACTTTCCTTTTAACATCATGCCTTTTGAAAAAATTCTCTGTGTTTTTTTTTTTAATCCACAAATGCTTATTGATCTCTTTGCATTGATGTTTTTTCCCAGAGGCCACAATCAGAGGATGGAATTCCTCGGTGACTCCATAATGCAGCTGGTAGCCACAGAGTACTTATTCATTCATTTCCCAGATCATCATGAAGGACACTTAACTGTGAGTTTGTATTAAATCATTTCCTCCAATAAGATTGCTGTATAACAGAGAGCAAAGATTAGAAGAACCAAATATATATTTATGTAATTGACTTAGTTCTTGGTGACTTTAGCATATCATATGGTTTTGTTTCATTATGTAAATTGTGTGCAAAACAATATATGATAAGAGCTCATTTCCATTTAGTGACTGCCTACTCAGTGCAAGACGTTGAGTTAGGCTTCATGGGGGGAGCAAATATTAGTTGACACCTAGTCTATCCATAAGAAGTTTAAAAACTATGAGGAGAAATTAAAAATATAAGTAAATAACTACAAATTCTCTCTCTCTTTCTATATCTATATACATATGTATATAGATATAGTGTGGGGTGTGTGTATATACGTATACATGTACACTATAAAAAGTATGAGTAATTGTAACTAAATACAGGGAGTACCACGTTAAATATTATAAAGAGACATAGGGAAACTGTGCTGTTTAGGAAAAGTAAGATTTCTTTCAGCTGTGGAATTTCTAGAAGGCTTCATGGATATGATGATGTTTGAGTCTTTAAAAGGATGAGTAGGATTTGGCCACTGGGAATTAATGGGAAGAAATTTCTATGCAAAGACATTGCACACATTGGGACTGCTGAAACAGGGGCACAGCATGGAAGATCCAAAGCCTAGTTTGAGGGGCTTCTCTGGTGGCACAGTGGTTGAGAGTCCGCCTGCTGATGCAGGGGACACGGGTTCGTGCCCCGGTCTGGGAAGATCCCACGTGCCACGGAGTGGCTGGGCCCGTGAGCCATGGCCGCTGAGCCTGCGCGTCTGGAGCCTGTGCTCCACAATGGGAGAGGCCACAGCGGTGAGAGGCCCGCGTACCGCAAAAAAAAAAAAAAAAAAGCCTACTTTGGCTGGATCATGTGGAGTTGAAAGGGACTTAGAGAGACAAGGCTTGATTTATGACCAAAGTGAAATAGTTCCCATTCCTCTCACCTTTGTTTCATTTTATAAAATTTTATTGAGCTTTTTTATTTGCTGGGTGTGGTTTTTACCCTGTGAAACCAATCAGTAATAAAACCAGAGTGGAGAACAAAACATATCTGGAAGCCAGTCGTGATGATCTCTCCCAGCCCAAGGAATAACCTTTGAGAAGTCCCTCTAGAATTGGGCATTGGAAAAGCAAATATTTTATTGGGCAAATAAAAAGAGTACTCACTATAAGACATTTTGTGAGTGCAGACATTCTTCATTAGCTTGAGGCAAATAAGTCTTTCATACTTTGCATCTCTACAATTTCTATACATGTTTTGCTTTCAATAGAATTGGATCTTATCTCTGCAACTGTGAACCCTGGAAATAGTTTATGTGACACACAAATATTGGATTTAGGGAGAATATGGTTATTTGACTATGTTTAGATGTAATTTTTCAGCAGAATTTCTAAGCCCAACAAAATATGGTCCTTTAATTCTTTCACTCAGTGAATATTATGTTCCTGCTATGCCCCATGTACCATTATATGGGAAATTGGGAATACTGTTATTTTACATTTAGTTTAAAATTAGCAGTTTGATTACCACTTAAAGTTAACTGCTTTTGGATGGACAAGAAATTCCTCTTGAATTAATATTAAGTTCTTAAGAACATATGAGCATTTACCAGAAATAAACTAGTATCTAGTATCTTGCTCTACATTCAGGAATCAATAAATGCTCGTTCAGTATCTTCCATTAGGGAATACACTTCATAGCTGTCAGAGTATCTGGTTGGTCTGAGAAATGGCGAAACTAAACCAAATGGCTTAAGTGGTAATTCATCTTATGGCCATAAAGAGACCACTGTTGAAAATGTGTGACTTAAATACACACATTTACCCCTATATTCCCACAAATTAATTGTGAACTCCAGGATTTTGTGGAGCAGGGACGTATGGATCAGCAAGTTTACTGCTTCTCTTCTTGGCCACGGCACATCCCGCCCCTGACCCCCAACACTGAACAGATAATGAAACCAGAACTCAGAAAGGCATGGGCCCTGCCCAAGGTCTGGATAAAGGTAAAAGCAGGACTATGCTAGACTCCAGTTTTGTGTTCTTTCCAAAATGACTTCAGTGCTGTAACTAATTTTATCCAAAATGTGTTTATCAGCCTTGCTGTCTTAAAAATAAAGAATTTTTGGATAGCTTCTTAGAAAAATGTTAACAAAGAACAAAATTCTGATATGATGGTTTTATGAACTGTATTCACAGAAAGCTTCTGTAGAAATCAGTAGGACCAAGAGATCTGCTGACAAAACAAAGATGTTCAGTCATCAGTGAAATACATATTTAAAAGATACTGACTCTCATTAATGTCTCTTTGATGTGGTTGCTCCCTCCCTCCTCCTTTTTTTTTTGCGGTACACGGGCCTCTCACTGTTGCGGCCTCTCCCGTTGCGGAGCACAGGCTCCGGACGCCCAGGCTCAGCGGCCATGGCTCACGGGCCCAGCCGCTCCGCAGCACGTGGAATCTTCCCGGACCGGGGCACGAACCCGTGTCCCCTGCATCGGCAGGCGGACTCTCAACCACTGCACCACCAGGGAAGCCCCCTCCCTCCTTGAGCCGCTGTCTCCCATTGGCTTCTATGATGCTGCACGTTCCTGGTTTTCCTCTCACCTCTTGAGCTACTCTCTTAGCCTCCTTTGCAGGCTCATCCTATTCTATAGAGCTGATGAATATTCCAGGATGTACAAGGTTTACTCCTAGGCATTTCTTCTTCTTAGTAGAGTCTCTTATAGGCAGTCTTTTCCAAGTATAGCATTAGTTTCACTCTGTAGGCAGACTTTTAAATGGACTTCTTCAGTCCCGTTTCTTTTCTGAGCTCCAGTGCCAGCTGCCTTCTCATCATCTCCACATGTTGAAGACTGAACTTGAAGTCTTCTGCCACCTGGGTCCTCTACCAGTATTCCTTGAGTAGTTGAATGGCAACATCACCCATCCAGTGTTGCAAGTCAGAAACCTAGGAGTCATCTTTGATTCCTCCCTCTGCTTCCCTTCCCTATGTTCTAGTCCATTCGCAAGTTTTGACAGTATTACTGCTGGACAGTGTTATGTCTTCATCACCCAGATCCTCTCTACCGACCTCTGTCACCTGGACCACTGCAGTGGTTTCTGCATAGCTGTCACAGTGTTACAGGAATATGATTGACAGAGAGACTCGGTTAGAAGAGGTGGCATTTACTAAATTGCAAAGGATAGGAATCTTAAGGTTGTGCTTATACAAAGCAGTAGGCAATGCAGCAGGCTCAGATTTCCCATGAGATGTGTGTTACTATTGGAAAAGCTGGTCTTTGCCATTCTTGTACTCTCCAATGGGGGACATTGTCTCAGGTTTCGGGCCTGTTGGACAGCGTTACGGCTTCCTACACCAGCCTTCCTGAATCAGCTCTTGCTCCCATGCAGGCCAGGAGTCTTCTGCCTTCTGCGGAAGTCTTCTTACCTTCTGCGGCCAGTGGAGTCTTCACCACACATATTTTGTGACCACACTAGCCATTCATCGTCAGTCCACTTCGGTTGTTCCTCTTCACCTCCCCAACCTTCTCAGACCTCTTCTCTTTTCTGTTGACTTCCTCTCCATGAGTCTGAATACATCTGTACGTTACCTTCTATTTTATGTCTTCAGTTCTTATTTGCCCCTAATTCCATACTCAAATATCTCCATATTTAGAGATATACGTGGATATCTAGATATACTTGATCTCTGGTTGGATTTCTATCGGGCACCTCAAACCTAACATGGCCGAAACAAAACTGATTTTTACCCCCAAACCTTGGTGTTCTCCATATCAGTAAGGATTGTTCTGTTCTTAGCTCAGGCTAAAAACCTTGGAGTTATCCTTAACTCTTCTCTTTCTCTCATCCTACACCTCCTAGCCATTAGCATAGCCTGTTGATTTTACCTTAAAAGTTCGTCCCAAACATAACTACTTTTCACCAGCTCCACTGTTATCACCCTGGTCTGGACCACAGTTATCTTTACCTTAAATTACAGCCATAGCCTCCCAACTGGTCCATCCCTCCCCACCCTTCAGCCTATGTTCAGCACATGATCTAGACGGACTGTTTTTAAAGAGAAGTCGGATTACAACTTCCTTTGTGCAAAACGTAAAGATTTCTCATCTCAAGGGTAAAAGACAATGTTGTTACCTACAAGACCCTGTATGACCTGCTTGCCTGCTGCCGTCTTAGACTTTTTCTCCTAGACACTTCACATTAGCCTCTGTGAGATTCCTGCAGGACACTAAGCAAGCCTTTGCCTCAGGGCCTTTTACATGCTTGCGGCCAAATCCCACACCTGTGTTCAGATGTCATCACCAGTGAGGCTTTCTTTAATTCACTCTGCTTGATAGTAACCTTTTTTCCTCATCCCCAGCTCCCCTCCCCCAGTCTGGAAGCTTACCTCCATTTTCTCCTTCCTTTTTCTACTTAGCACATACTATTCTCTCATCAGAGTGTAAACTTTGTCTATCTTCTTCACTCCTGATTCCCTGGGTCCTTGGACAGTCCTGGCATATCAGTGCTCAGCAAATATGCTGAGTGAATAATCATCATATTCCAGTCTAATGCTCTTCATTTTTTCTTTGGAGAGTGAAATGAACAAGCCTGCCCACCTACCCGGCCTTGTGTCACATATTTGTCTTATCACTCTGCACCTCTTACCTGGCCTGCTTTGTGTTCCTCCAAGCTCTCTCCTGCCATTGGGTTTGTACATGTTCTACCTGGAGACCATTCTGCTTCCTGCCCTTACTCTCAGCTGCCTGGTATCTCCTACTCTGCATTAGATGTCAGTTCCCGCATGACTGCTGCCTGCAAGGGAAACTTTCCAGCCAAATTTCTGTGTTCTTTTCCTTCCTGGCACTTATTTGAGTTTTCCTGTCCCACTAGCCTGGAAGTTCTGTGAGAGCATGTGTTTATTTATCACTATATGTGCAGCAGTACCTGGTATATGTAGGCTCTCAATACATATTTGATAAGT